CCACCGCCGCCAGAGCAGCAGCAGCAGCAGCAACAACAAGGCAGCAAAGAGAGCGCCAGCGGCGCCAATGGTCGCGGCGGTGGAGGATTCGATAGCGGGCTGACGAAGCTGCTCGACGGGGGCGTGTCGTTCGCGTTCCGGGTGCACCAGATGGTTGGCGGTTTCGATGCGGAGTGCATTGCTCTGTTGGAGTCCCTGGGCCCTATGTGGCGGGCTATGGCGGTGCGGAGGAGCGGAGCAGAGGCCTGCGCCGGTGCTGGAAGAGACGGAGGAGGAGGAAGAGGAGGAAGAGGAGGAGGGGGAGGGGGAGGGGAGTGAGAAGGAGGTGGTGGGGAAGGGGAGTGAGGAGGAAGAAGAGGAAAGGCGGGTTACGGTGGAGGAAGGGCGGAAGTTGGTAAAGCGATAGTGGCACCCGGCGAGGCAGCAGCTGAGGGGACAACAGCCGACAGGCGACACAGAGACGCGTTCTGTTTTCGGTTGGGTTGGGTTGAGGTCCGTAGTAGGTGCGGGGGAGCGGAGCCCACTGCGGACCCACTTGGCGTCAGCTCAGCTAGCCAGTGGTTGAGATCCAGATCCAGATAGGGGGGTGCAGTGTTTGCCGTCGCGTTGAGGCTTCCTTGCTTAGGAGCAGAGGAGAGTAGGGGAGGTAGGAGAAGGGCGGGGAGTAGCGTGTTGACTGGCGCAGTGGCGCTATGATTGTGTGGGAAGTCCGAAGGGAAGAGCAAGGTCTGGACATTGTCAGTAGTAGCACGGACCACCGAGCGAACCACAAACGGGCGGTCGCGTGGTGCGGGGGGCCCCCCGAAGAAGGATGGCAGCAATAGTAGCAATAACAAGCAAAGATAGTGACAAAAGCCGGGATAGGTTTTAAAGTTACAGGTTACAAGTTCTTTAAATGGGTATTTTAAATTCGAGAGGAATTGGAGGCCCTGGGAAAAGAAATCTACGTGGGTCTTGACGTGCGTACGAAGGACACTTTGAAGATCGGACGGACGGGAGTTTGGGGATTATGTCATAATCCGGGCTGGGCAGGTGGCAGGAGTTGGTGGGGGGAGGACAGTGTGGCCCAAGCAGTACGGGAGCGGTGGAGTGAGTGTGCTGCAGTACATCGGCGAATGGAAGGCTTGAAAGAGCAGTGGTAGGAATTGTTTTTTTCTTTCATGTAGGCGTAACCGCAAGGAAAGGACAGACGGGAGGCGGCAGCAGCGGAAGGGAGCCGGGGACGCGGGAAGCAACGGGCTCTTTGACCACTGGAATGATGGCAGGAGGATGGCGGCGTCATCGGCATGTTGGTTTCAACTTTTTTGATGATGGTGGCGGTGGCTACTGCCACTACGATGATGGTGGCTTTGCGCTGACGGCGATGTTGTAAATGTCGTTAGTTTTTTGCATTGTGATGTTACATCATTGTAACATCACGTCCATATTGTTATCATCTTCCTGAAAAAGGTTTCTGTGTACATGCTTTTCATGCCGACATGCGAAAACCGTGGATGAGGATTGAAGACACGTCCGAACATGACATGGCACACGTGTGTGCGTGCATTTCATTTCTCGTTCGAGTCGCCAGAGTCACAGCAGCGACTGCAGGAAGGGATTCTTGGTGGGCACGTGAAGTGTACAACTCCCGTGGTTTCGGAGCGCCGTAGTAGATGACTAAAGCTTAGGGTTAGGCGCTGCCGTTACTTTTCTTGGGTGCAAACAGCTGCAATACGTGCGAGAGAAAAAGGGTTGTGGCCTTAAACCTCTGTATTCAGTACTGACTACCGCTGGTGAGAGCTTGTTGTGTTATGTTTTGTTTCCCCAGAAGTTGCAAGGCCGGAGGTGCTGTGAGGCGAAGGGGGGGAGAAAGAAGAGAGGGGGATGGCGCGGGGTTTTGGCCCTGAGACCCTGCGCCTCGTGGGGCCCGAGGGTTCGGAACGGACCCGAAGAAGTCCTGTCCCCGCATTTTTATTTTAGACTAGTTTTTTTACCGTGGTGTCATAACCTGGATGTAAGCCATATCAAAATATAAAGGTGGTGGGTTTTCACAGACTGACCCGCACAAATCACATCAACGGCCACGCGTATACGGCGTTCCCGCATACCCTTTTACTCCAGAGGGCACGCCATGTGCGCTGCTTTCATGCCAGGGGATAAAACGGTATATATATGAGGTGGTGAAAAAGTCCAGAAAAGGCTTCCGCATTCCTCCTGGCCATCGGGCCTTCTGCGCGATTGGCCGCTACAGGACAATCTTTTACATATGTACGGAATACGCTGTACACCGCGCTGTACACCGGTTCCCCCGCCGGTCGCAAGTCTCATTCGCAATCCGAACACTATCCGACATGGCCGTAGGCGTCCCGCCTCCCGTCTCGCTCCCTCGACTCCTTGCTTCAGCGTTCCATAGAACAAAAGATATGTCCCCGATGAATACATCACTATATTATTGCCTCCGGCTGTTCTCTGCCGGTTGCTGCCGTGCTTTTCCGCCCTTTCCCCCACCCGCACTGTTGCGGGCCACTGCAACAACTCCTCGAGCCGCAATCACCACCACGCAAACGAAAACCCTTCGTTGCTCCGCCCAAAGGATACTGCTACTACTGTTACTGCTACTACTGCTGCTATGAAACCCACCGCAGCCCTTCCGCCGCTACCGCCGACTCGCCATCCATGATGCGACTTGAAGCCGCTCGTCGACATGACCTCACTCTGATCCCATCTGGGAAATCAAAGTCCCCACCCCAACCGGCGTTGCGACCAGTCGCAAGAGCACCCAATGCCCCAACATCCCTGCATCAACGAGCCTTACACACGGAGTGTCATGAGACCACACACACCCGTGCGCAGTGGCTAGTAGCTCTCGTACGGCCGTCAACTGTCAACCAAGGGCCCCTTTCCAGGCTGCGGGGGGCTGAGAGTCTCCCTGACTTTGGTTCAAACGTGGACCAGAAGACCCAGACTGCACCGTCAAAAACCATACCGGCTGCTCTGACATAACCCTAATTCGCTGTTTCTCGCATGCAAGCGAGAGAGGCTCTCTCTCTCTCTCCCATCATCCTCCAGGAGGTTTTGCTAAAACGCCACAGACCGCATCTCTGAATGAAAATGTCGGCCGGATGATGGTTTGCGGAAGTCGCGTAGAGGTTCACGTGCTGGTTAACGCTCGCATATCACACAAGCCACGCAATCGTCACAAACTCCAGGTTATGTGCAAGTTGTCTTTGGGACTTTGAAATTCGCACAGGCAGGCACAAAACATGTAGAGGCATGAACACAGTTGTGAGACGCGCACACTGGGACGCCTTCTTCAAGCATCAGCACAGAGATCCGCACAAGGCGCTGCCGGAAACGCTCAAAGTGCCAAGTGCTGCCGAAAACCAAACGAACATCCGCCTCGAATTTGTGTGAAGAGGGGTCCGTTGCGAGAGGAACAAACCGCGAGCCCCGGGTGGGTAGGCCCGGTCAAAAGCATGAAGGAAAAACAGAACACACACAACTTGGGGGGACCGAAGCCGATGCACGGCGCGCAGGGGAAAAAAGGAGACATGCCAGATAAGCTCCGAAACACACAAAACCGTGAGTAAATGTCGCGCATGCAAACCAAAATTGTGTTATGGTAGGTAGCTCGGGTCTCTATGCCTTTAGGTACCCCTGCCCAGGCAACGCATTCAGCTCGCCGCCGCTTTGCAGTTGCAATGGATAGATGAATGAATATACGAGCGAACTGTGCACGATATATGCTTGTGTGGCATTTGACGGATGCGGCGAGTGAACGCCCAGCAGGAGACCCTTCTCGGGTTGCGCGAGACAGTGGCCAGGTCACAACCCTCAACAAGGACGCAAAACCCTCGCCCACCCCTGAACCTGACGTTCCTATCACTCCAGGGCTCGAAAGCACATGCACACGCTCACGTCCTCACGAGCCCCAAATCCGAAACCCCTCCCATCCGGTGCCCTCCGGCGCCATTCGATCACTTCCCGGCTGTGGCCCCCTTCCCCCTCCCTCCCTACCTCCGACCATTCCATTTCCTACGAACCGGTAACAGACTAAAACGACTCCAGGGAAAATCCACACCGAACATGATGGACATCAAGAGCCTAAATAGCCCTCGAGACTCTTCTCTTCTCGCGCTCAAAAGGTGCCCAGTGCGAAGAAAAGAACGTTTCCTCCCACGCCCGTCTCCCGTACCCACCTAGGCCGCTACTAGAATCCGAATGACATCAATGGCAATAAGGCCATCAGATCCGAAAAACTCCTGCTGCCGCCCTCCTGCCACAACATCGGTGGTTACAGCAAAACCTCTCCATCCTCTCGCTGCCCGTTTCCACTCCCAGCCCACTTTAATAACGTCAGCAGCTCCAAAAAATGCGCTCGTCCCGCGCTCATCTACATGTACGACGCATCTCAAGTGCGACTCCCTCCATCTCGCATGTCTCCTCCTCACGCAGGGGGCCCCCCTTTCCGAAACCAATGGTCGCCAGTGGTTCGTCGTCTTACCCCCCCCCCCAAACCAACCGCTTTCAAAGGCACGAGCCCGTCCCACGGACAGATCAACACCACGCCACCAAAAGGGGAAGCCTCTCTCCTTCTCTGTGCCTCTCTTCTCGCATAGCCCTTCTAATCTATACTACATGAGATACAACCCGATAAACCGACAAAAAACAAACAAAAGGCACGGCCGCACAGACACAGTATCTCCACTCTCACTTCTTTCGCCCCAAACGTTAGTTAACTTCGCTAAAAAAAACACGTCGCCAAAAAACATGTCACCCACTGGAGGTGCGACAACCTCTTTTTCTTCCCACCTTACCACCTACCATTGGCTCCTCAGCTAACGCAACAAAATTTGTGCGTCCACCTGACCGGCATCGGTCGCCGTTTGGGGGGCGGCGGTGACGGCACGACCGTCCCAAAGGCACCCGAGTTGCGTTGCTCCCACAGCGTGCCGAGGTCCACACCTGCCTCCCGCATGACATTGTCAAACAAACAGGACTTCAGACCGCCTCCCTCCTCTACCGCCTGGAGAAACCTGCACCACGAGCGACCCACGGGTCATGAACAGGGAGTCATTCATGGGCCATGGTGATCCGCCTCGCGAGGTTGTGGATCATGGAGGGTCGGTCATCAGCATATGAAAGATATGTGGGTATTTCATGTGCATGTGAGGGGGCTCCCGCCGCGACATCTATATAGGGTTTTCTCGTCCTTGCGTACCTAGCCGCCCCGGACTGGGAGCCACCCAGGACGGGAAAATCTTTTAGATGCCGCGGCGGGAACACTATTGGTCCCTGTTGCCCCTGTGTCAGGAAAGACTCCTCCGTCTACCTCCAAACATGGATGCCTTACTCTACATCAGTTGCCACTGCTGTTGCTACTGCCGCTGCCACTGTTGCTGCTACTGCCGCTGCTGCTGCCACTGCTATTGCTACTGCCGCTGCTACTGCCGCTGCTGCTACTACTGCCATTGCTGCTGCTACTGCTCATTTCTTACTCACTTTTGGCGTGACCAGCCGCTCCAGGAACCAAACTCCATACCAGCCTGCTCCCACAGCCGCAGCTGCAATACGAAACCCGGATTGGGCGAGATGAAGGGCCTGGCCGCGTACACCTGCGCGCACCTCGCAACGCACGAGGACCGCAGTAAGCGTGACGCGATCAAAACGGGTGATGAAAAGTGTCGACAGTCTTAAACAGCACCGACCAAAACTCAACCCAGCAACAGCCCATAAAACAGCAACAGCAAAAGAAAAAATTACACAAAAGCAACAGCAGTTACAGCGGCAGCAGCAGCGTGGACAGGCGTCACTTGTCGAACTGTCCTGTCACCACCTTGCCGCGACTTGCAGCAGCAGCAGCAATAGCAGTAGCCGTACCGCTCACCTGTTCCGCCGCCCGTACAAACGGCAGCCGCTGCTTCCACATGAGGAAGGCTATGCAGGTGGAGGCGCTGCGGGAGATGCCCATCATGCAGTGCACCAGGACTACACCGCCTGCGGGGAGGGTTAGCAAGGGTAGGTAGGTGGCTGCGTAGGTACCCCAATAGGTAAGTCGGCTGGTAGGTAGTTAAGGAAAGTAGTTACGTAGGTCTGTCAGGTCAGGATTGCGACGGATGACGACTCTCTGAAGGGCCCAGGAGGCTCTTCCACGCGCGCAACTACCTTCAGACAAGTCAGGATGTACATCTATGTCCCTCATCGGGGGCACAACGAGCACCCCGGTTAACTTGGGCGACGAGGCCATCCCGCCATCTCCCCAGCTCCCAAATTCACTACGAGGCCTGCGGTCGGGCCGCATCGCACCTTTAGCTAACGCGGAATCCATGAATTGGAACACTGGAGGGAGCTGCGCTATGAGGTCCACACCCTCCACGTCCTGGATTGGAACATGCAGGTACTCGAACTTGCCTATGAATCACCGAATAGGGCCAACGGCCGGGAAGGGAAGGCGCCCGGGGATTGGGGGCATAAGCGACCGGACCAAAGTCGCTACGCGGTAGACATGGCTGGGTTGGGGGTAGGGGGGATAGCTGGGAGGCCCAAATCTTAATCTTAATCAGGAACAATGAGACCATAATATGGTAAAACAGCATATGAATGAATCGTGCTGCAAATTGTTAGGTAATATGGAATTGTGACTCGGACAAAAGGCGCCACAACTTGTCAGGGCCCTAATGCAGGATTGTTACGCTCCATAATTCAGTGGCTTGAGTTTTTTTTTGTGGTAAAAAGGCACTGCATGTACCTGTGTGGCTCGGTCCCAATTCAATGCCAACCTGCGAAGAAGGGTTTCACGGTTCACATTTGTTACTCCAGATCGTCGTGTTCACCGTCATGGAGTTCAGAATTTTTGACTCCGATTTTGCAATAAACTGTTATACAGCAAACCGTAAGCATGTGACAACGACGGACTGCCACTAGCTTCTCACCTGTACTATATGCGTGACGCCCTGTTCCCTCAACTGCAGTTCGATGGTTTCAAACTGAAAGCTGCTGATTAGAAGGCCAGGCACGATTAATTGAGGGTTGTTGATTTGCACTGCTATATGAAGGTTATCGGGCAAATTGGTTCCAGCCATTTTTCATTTTCTCAGGAGTCAAAATCCAGTAGCAGACTCTTCATTTACAGATAGAGGGCTTTACAACACCAACTGCAGCCGCCAACGACCGTTACGTCGTGCAGTTTGGATGCAACACAGGATAAGGAAGCGGGATTTTTAACGCGCGTCAGAGCGGAATTACCTGATTACACCTCTACCGCTGCCGTATAGTACGACGTATATGTGTCATGTGGATTGTCATGACCGTTGTGCAGGACTGCCGTGCCAAAACCTATATTTCTCCATAAGAGGCTAGTTCGTGGTCATCAGAGAGGCACTACTGCATATTTAGAATCCAAGGCATTTGATTTCTCGCGGGACCATCATTGCGCGTATCGGGCTTCGAAAAATGTTTTGTAGGACAATGGGCTTTTAAGCTCGATACTATCCCAGCCAATTATCAGCAGAGCTGCATAACGTCCAGGATGTTACGAAATGACCGTCGTCGTCCACAAGTCCATCAGATGGATAGACGACAGATAGTCATCTAGGGTTTTTTGTGGATGGTCCCACAACCGTCATCACACAAGCTACGAAACCTAGAAAGCTAAGCCGTGCGCCATGCGCACTCAACACCTCACCCTGAGCCGTCAAGCTACGACTCTAATCAGGCCCTTGAAATCCGCCGACGAGCCCCCGCAGCGCCAGCAGTATCAGCGGTCTCTCTCCCTGCAGCACGCACTGGCTACCTCTCCTCCTAAAGAGAGAACTCCTGAACACTCTCCGTCCATCTCACCTCACAGTACCTCTCGTAGTAACAGAGTTCCTCCAAAGGCATCCCATCATCTATTGATTGGCCCTAAGTAGCGCTCAAGGAGCCAACCCGGCTAAGCTCATCCTCCTCGCGCTCACCGGCAAACCGGCGTTGCCGACGGCGATTTCAACGCATACTTCCGAGCGCACAACAGAAGCGACAGGAGGCCGTCAACCTTAACGCAAAACAACAACAACAACACACCCGCGCTGTACCATACACTTAATAACTCCCGCCCTGCAGGTCGTTTCCTTATCTCACTCTCTCTCTCTCTCTCTCTCTCTCACACACACACCCTCACCCTCACGCGCGCACGCAAACGCAATCGCAATAACGCGATGCAACAACAAAACATGACCACTGTTCCCTTTCCAGCGTCCGCAGGTATCAACTCACCCACTGCTACGACCCAATACAGGATTTAAACTTATAGAGGATTAAAACTTCGGTACATCTTAAAACGACAACTTCAAAACTTCAAAAACAGAACCCAACGACGCCCTAGTCAGTCATGCGAGAGGTGTCACGGTGTGATGGTCATGCCCTCCTGCAGCACAGTACCCGGCCGCGGCGGGGCATGGCTTCTTGCCCTCTGCGTCCCCCTTCACCCCGCTCAGGGCGTCCACGCCTCACAACTCCCCACTCCAGCCGCAGATTCTTCCAGGTCCCCAACCCCGCGGCAAGCCCTTACCCCGCCACCACCAGAAATACTCCGTCATCCCAGGTCTCACCTCGCCCACTTCAAGGATAGACCAGGTCATAACAGATCGACACGAAGACATGTTCAAATTGAATCAACCCAAATCAGATCGGATTGGATCGGGGACCAGTTCGGGGGCCATTGAGGATCGGGGTCCATACCAGGGCGCGGCATGTGGGCTCCGATTACTTGCCTCCTCTCACTTGCCGGCCTCCTCAGGTGTCCGGGTGGTCATGCTGTCCACGGCGTGTACGGCCTCCTGGAGCTCCAACCAGATGGCCTGGGGGGAACGGTTTATGATAAATAATATCAGGACACAGCTCTGCAGCGCACAGCACTGCGCTACCGCACAGCACCGCTTCGCACCTTGTACACCATGCGCTGACGCTGCATGGAGTTCTTGTCTGCGAAGAGCTTTGAAACGACCTCGATGCTTACGTGGCGGCCATCGCCGTAGACGTCCGTCACCGTGCAGGTGTCGGTCTCCAGGGCCTCGCAAATTTTACCGCGCATGCTGTTCATCAGCTCGGCAGTGACCTGGCCAGCGACGCCGCCTGAGGAGCTGGCGACGCTGGGAGATCCAGGACCCGACACGGGAATGCTCCATGTGCTAACGCTCGCCAGCGATCGCTGCTCGCGCGATGCAGCTTCCAGACTTGGCAGCGCGGAGCGGCGGATAGGCATGGCAAGCGCCGGTTGGAACATCTTGCAGTAATGCTCTTGCGCTTGTAAGCGGCCATGACGAGCAACCACGCACGAGCGCGAGGTAAGGAGGGTTGCCATTATGGTACCTCAATTTGCTCCTAACAATTAATCTTCAATACACCTGGTATTTGAGAGTGTGATTTTTGAATACACGTCTTACAGGCAACTATTTCAACATGTCCGTAATAAGTTCATAGGCGGTCTCGGTTGCTGGATGAATGTGCGACATCCTCATGCGCAAGACGGCTCGCCATGCATGCCATTTGCCAATCCAATCGCCAAAGTACGCAGAACCATCATGCATACAGCCTGGAAATATTTGAATTGTTAGACATTTAACCGTTTGGAGCCTCCAACTGCAGGGTCTGGACGTTGACCCGGCGGCGCATGCCCTAACATTTGCACCACAGTCAAAATCCAGTCCTAAGCTTTTTCTGTGCAACACATGAATCCGACAACTTCTACGACTCACATGACATGAAACAGAACGATGGCAGGGCCACCGCGGGGCGAGTCTTGCAAGCCACCTAGTGGACTTGGTGCTGCACCATCTTCCCGCTGAAATTCCGGGCACCTGCCTTCACCACGCAAGGCTCCTGCGGCAAGGGATCTGCACCCACGACATCCTGGGACAACCCCCAGGGTGGCGCGCATGCACGGAAACACGCAAGCACATACACACATACAACCCCATGCATCACCCCGTCCGTTCCCCCCTTCCGCCCAGCTCCTCTCCCGCCTATCTGGATGCCCTCCGGACAAACTCCTTAGCACCTCGACTGCGGGCTCCGCCACCTCCTTCACCGAAGACAGACATGGTGGCGGCTGCAATTTCCGTACCTAGTCGATGCAGCCGCGGCTGCGGCGGCGCCAGCCCATCAGCGCGGCAGCTTGCGCAAGGCAGCCTCGGAGCCGCCGCCGCCGCTGCCACTGCCACTGCGTCTAATATTGTGGGGTCAGCAGCAGCCATGCGTCGCACCAGCAGCCGCAACCCCAACAGCTCGTCTCCCTTCCCATGTGCCTCTTTCCATACCGCAACCGCGGCCTCGGCGCTGGGCATCTGGTTACCCTGCCGTACCGCCATCCGTACGAACGCCCTTGCATCCAACCGGCGTCTGGTCTCCGCCACTGGCAGCGGTGATGGCGCAGAGTCGCCGTCGCTGAATGCGGCGATGGTGGACGCTGCAGCGACGGCGGCGGCGCCGGCTTCAATTGCTGACCCGATGCCCCGGCGGCGGTCTGTCTCCAGCCGATCTCGTGCAGGACCACGGCAGGTCGCGGTGCTGCAGACGCAGGAAGGACCGCCATCATCACCGCCCCGGCCGCAGCGGCAGGAAGCCCCGGCGGAGGTGGCGGAGCTAGTGGAGCCGCAGCAGCTTTCAAGCTTAAGCTCAAACTTAAGCTTGGCTGCAATGAAGGTGGGTGCCGGTGGAGGGCTGGCAGGAGTTGGCCTGGGCTGATGTGGGCGCGTCCAGCGCCTCATGGCCTTCTTCACAGGTCCCAGTTCCCCCCGTTGCAGTGTCGGGGGGGAACCGTACGCTGGGGGGAAGGAGAGTTCACGTCCGTCACGTCCTTTAAATCTCCCGGTGCACGACACGGCAACCCAAGGAAACCTCCGTCGCGCCCCTCTGTTGCCATTCACTGCGGCTGCTGTTGCTCGGGCTTTCGACCCCACTCCTCGGGGGGGGGCGAAAGCTCGGGCCCGTAGTGGCGAGGAACCCGGTTAGGGCCCCCTATTACGTACGTATATACACACACAGACACATACGTCGCCGCGCAGGTGGAAATACGTGTTTATGAAGCGTCGGATCCTAAAAAACGTTTTCCCGTGGCCTCCCGATTTTGGAGTACAGGTTTCGGAGCTGCAAGCCGCTCTACGGGCCCTGGGTCTCCCAGTTTCCGGACGCAAAGCGGAGCTTTTGGAGCGTCTCCTGGCGGGAGAGGCAGCGGCGGCAGTGGCTGCAAGTGCCGTACACTCCCTGGCGGCGGCGGCACCAGGAGCCGCTGCCGCCGGTACCGCATCATCTAGCGGGGCGCCACGGCGGCGCACGCGAAGCCGTACGGCAGAGGTGACGGACGACGGAGAGGTGGATGCGGGTACGGTTGACATCAAGGGCGCCGCCGCCGCCGCCGCCGCCGTGGGACCGAAGCGCAGAGCGGCGACGGAGGTGCAGCGAGATAAACGGGACGACGCGGATCCATTTTTGGACGAGCTATTTGCAGCAATGGATCTAGACATCTCCGTCACAACGCGAGATCCACGTGAGATCCAAGCCGCGCTTTCGTCCTCACGCGGCGGCGGCAGCGGTAGTAGCGACGGCGACGACGACGACGGCGAGGGACTGGCGACGGCGGCGGCGGCAGCGAGAAAGGGCGCGCAGCGGCAGCGGCGTACGGCACAAGCTGGCGCTGCAGAAGCACCTCTGCTCCAAGAGCTCTCGAGCAGTTTCAAATCCTCGGGCGCGTCTGGGCTCCAATCCCTGAAAGGAGCTGCAGCGGCGGATGTAGCCGCTGCGGCGGCAGCACCTTCAACTTTTACAGTGCCGGTTAGCGACTCGGCACCATCTGGATCTGAACTTGGATCTTTGGGTTCAAATCCAGATCTGGATCCTGATTTAGATCAAGAGTACGACCTGCCGCCCTGGCCACCGATGTAAGTGGGCGCAGACATGGATATGGCCCCAGTGGCTGTCAACCTGCGGACTGATGTGGACGGATGCGTGACGACATCTGTGTTTCTCTATTCATAAGGCCCAGGAGTCAACGCGATTAGACGGTTCGGTCTTGTACGACGACCTAAGTTAGCCCTTCGTGCTCTTTGCATGTCTCTCCTCTTCCTCCCCCCCCTTATATATGAGGTCTGGTACACTCTTGCCCTGGCAGCAGCTCCACTCGTTCGTGGTTCGTCTTTCCCCTCCTTACTTGCTTAGCGGGTCCGAGATCTTTGTCGTTTGCTGTTTGGCGGCGCTACGTTGACCCGCTAGCTGGGTTGTGTTGATTGGGTTGGTCGTAGGGCTAGGGGTGTGTTAGCTGGGGGGGGAGGCCTGGGAGGAACACATGCATGCATGTCAGCGAGCAGTGCAGCAGCAGAGATATCAGCAAAGCATAATTAATTGAGTATTTCCGCCGCCACGTCGGCACAGACCTTCCGATTTACTCCACGATACGATACACTTTCCGATACCTTTTCCTCTTTTCCTCTTTGCCGCTCTAGTTGTACACTTCAACACTTCACCACTACGGTCTCCTTTGACTTTCTGCTTTTTTCGTTCTATAAGAATTTTCCGTCGTCATCTCGGCGGCTAGGTAGTATTTTCGCTTGTTCGCTTTCTGCCTTCTTTGGACTTTGGACTTGACATCTAGTAACTCCATTTCGCAACCTAGCTAGCTGGCCACGTCGCCACCAGGGCCGCCAGGGCCGCTGTTCAAGTCAGCACTGGCCCCAGTAAAAATACTCCTGATGCAGTGTTTGCCTGCCTTCTTCTCCTGGGCTATCTGTCCATCCCTGGTGTCAGCTTCAATCGTCTGTGGTTCGTCTTTCCTCCCCTCTCCCTTTCACTGTCCCCCTTCTCCCCCCTTCCTTCACCACCCCACACAAACACACACACACAAAGACACAAAGACACACAGACACCCAAACCCCCCCGCCCCAACCCCCGGCTGGCAGGTACATGGGGGAGCTGCATACCATGGAAGAGTCGGCACCGGGTGACAAGGCCGCACAGGTATACATGCGGCCGTACAGTCGTACACCGTACGACACCCCGTTGTGCAACATGCACGTGCCATGCAGGGCTGCTGCACGAACGCTTTTTCCAACAAAGAGGAATCCAAATATTCCCTCTTAACTTGCAGGGTGCGCTCCCTTTTTTTCGTGGCGACGCTCCTCTTCCCCCCCATCTCCCCAGTGGCCCTGGCCCCCCCTAGGCGCTGATGTGACCCCCCTCCTCCTCTTGGTTCGCTGGTCACTGCAACTGTCCGGGCTCTCACGCACATGCCACCATGTTGCTAGTTCAGCTCTCGTTAGGAGTCATCGTCTTCAGCATCAATCAATCTTTCCGTACTTACTCCGCGAAGTCACATCGGACCCTGATCTCCCCCTTTCCCTTCGTCTTACATTGTCCCCTCTATTTTCTCCCGGCCCCCGCGTCCCGCGTCTCCCCCTCCCCTCCCCCGGCGGCTCCCATGGCCAGGAGGAGCTTTTGCTGGGTAATGTGGGCGGCATGTCCCTCACGGCGCTGGGCTCAGCGGCAGTGAACCCCACCGCGAGCAGGGCCCTGGCGTCCCTGGCCATGGCGCGAGTCAAGGACATCTTCATATTTGACGCTGGTGAGGTGAACGACATGTATAGTCGAGGGAAGGGAATGCACTCATTCCATGCCGTACTTGCAATTCGTACGATATATACGCCGTAATAATGTGTGTACGGCATATATCGTACTTTTGTGTCGTACACTTTCTGGTCGCTTTACCTCTTAACTCACTCGGCCATCTACGGGTGGGGGTTGGTGGGGGTTTGCCGTACACGTGCAGGTGACGACACTCAACGGCAGGTGGCACATGCTTATCACGTGAAGCCGTCTAAGATCTTTCGGATATTCTTAACCAGTTTGGAGCCTGGTAGGTGCCCGGACAAGCGTGTGTGTATGCGTGCGTGCGTATGTATGTATATGTGTTGGCGGTGAGGTTGGGAAGGAGTTTTAGAATGTGGTGATTGAATGCTATGTCGGTGGGTTGGCGGGTGTTGGCGCGGCAACAGAACGGCCCTTTTACCGGTGTGTCCGTCGGCAGTTAGTCCATTGGCGGTTAAGCCGTTAGTTCGTTGGGAACCCCGATGCCCACGTGCGATGAGAGATATGGTTAGGTGCATGCTAGCTCCCCTCACCCACCCCTCACCCACCCCACACACCCCTGGACCATTCCGTCTATTTGTGGTATATATATCTGCTTCATTCACCAGTGGTTTGTCTTACAACAACACACACATCCCCCAAACCGTCCGCTGTACCGTAGAGAGCGTGTTGGGTCTTCCTGGCCTTCTGTGTGTTATCAACAGCTCCAGAGAGCGAGGCCACGAGGCTGCCGACATTCCCGTACACGTGTACGGCCCGCCCGGTACGGCAGACTTTCTGGGGGCCATGATGCGCGTCAGCCAGACCTGCCTCGAGGTCACCATTGTCGTACATGAGGTGAGGATTCGCCGTCGCCTCTTTTCGTGCCGCCACAACCGTTTGTCCCATCTGGGTTACCCCCCGTCGGACACGTCTCTGTTAAACGCGCGCGTCGTACATACACATACACACACACTTGCACACGCACACACGCCGCGTGCTCGCCTGTGTGTTTTGCCGGAAGTGATGTTTGCTTAACCCTGAAACCCTCCCGCTGGCGCTTGTGCTTCCCCCCCCCGGGGGGCCCGCCCCGCCGAGTCCTATAGACTCGGCATCTTTTCCACGCCAGATATTTCGCCCCTCTTTCCACCTTCTGTCTCCTCCTCTTGCACTTCGGCTCCCGTTCCCGCGGACTCACCGTTCAGATCAGCACAGGACCAGTCGCACCCGCTGAGTCACAGCCGTACCTGTACGTCAAACGCGCGCGCATTTGGCGTGTCGTGATGCCCCCTGACCAACTCAACCCTCGAGGCGGGGTGGACGCGTCTCTGCTACAATTCGCACCAGAACAGGTCTGTCAGTTTATTGGTTGGTTAGTTTGATAACTCGTTTGGCGGTTGGTTGGTGGTTGGTGGTTATCTTGGTATCGAGCGTCTTCTCCGTCAGAACTGGCCATGTCTTGGAGTGTCCATCTAAGGGCTTTTTGTCCTCGTCAATAGTCTGTGCTTCAACTCGCACCCCCTCCTATCCCTCAGCGCTGGTGGTGACCCTGGGGAGCAGCTCTTGGGCGTCATCCCAGCTCCGCCCCACATGCTTGACTCGGCTTGACTTGATTTGACTTGATTTGGCTTGACTTGTAGAACTGCTCAGAGCTCCCCCAGGCTCCCAGCCTACGTAAATTTCCTGTCTCACCTGCTGAGCTGCAGCCGCACGCTCCGTTGAGAGGCCGTGTCCGTGTCCTGAGTCCGTGGGTTTGCTTTTCCTTCCACACCCGCTGTTTCCCCCCTCTAAATACCCCCATACATACGTACATTCATACGTACAGACATATATATACATGCATGCATACTTACATGCATGTATACTTACATATATACACGTACAGGGTCGCGGTCAGAAGAAGCGAGGTCGCAGTTCCAGTGGTGGTGTGTTGGCATTCGACCCGCGGGCCGGTTTTCAGCCCTTCCCGCCCCTGGAGCCGGGAGATCCCTACAGGTGAGGTCGGGGGGGGAGGGGGGGAGAGGGGAGGGGTATTACCGGGGGGCTTCACCCGCGGCCACTTTTATTCCCATTCACGGGTCCCTACTCCCCTTTCCTCCCCCCCCTCTTGAACTGCATCCCCCATCAAACCGCATGTTCTTTGTTGTCCGCCTCCGTTATCCCTCACACACCCACACACACCCACACACACCCCTTACCCGCTTCCATCTCCCTCCATTTCTTCCCCACATCCAACCCCCGGCGGTGCCCTGTGCTACTTTTGGACGCTGGCCGCTGCTTTTCCTTCTTATCTCGTAGGCATCATGTAATTTCCCCCCCCCCTCCTCTTTCCTCTCCCCCCTTTCTTCCCCCCCTTCAGGCGCCATGTGGACCAGATCTCTATGACGTGGACGCTGGAGCTTGACATCACCGCAAGAGTCATCATCAATTTGCTGCCGGGCGCAAGAGGATACGTACTGTCGTACACGCTACAGGTATGGCACAAGGGGTTTTAGCTGCTGCTGCTGCTGCTGTTGCTGTTGCTGATAATGATAAGCATGTAAGCATGTATTTATATGTGTGCTTGTTGCTTGTTACCGCAGGAAGCGGATCGCGCCGGGGCCTTGGTGCTTGAGAGGGCCACAGCTGCCGGCCTGGTGGGGGGTCCGGACTTTGCCAAACTCAAGGCGGGGGAGACGGTCAAGAACAGGTGCGGGTGCGGGGAAGCTAGGAGATCCGCGCGGCTGTGCGTGTGTGTGCCTGTCTGTCTGTCTGTCTGTCTGTGTTTTGATTTGTCGTACTCGGCCTTGTAACTCAAGTCCACAGCTCGTATTAGGTTATATACGCGCTCCCTGCTTTGACAAAGAGAATAAACCCCTTGTCTGGCGGGCTGGATGTACGGCACCCCAACAGAAGTGGCCCGGCCCTCGTCCCCTGCCACTTCGTCTTGCATCATCATCATGCTCATCATCATACTCTTACATCATCATCATCATCATCATCATACTCATCATACTCATCATCATACTCATCATCATACTCCTCCTTACTACGAGTTCCTGGCCGCAACATCTCCCTGCCGCTACCTCCGCCTCCGCCGCCTCCTGACCTCCCTCCCTCCCTCCTCCTGCAGCTGGGGCCTGCCAGTGCCCCCCTCCCTGGTCATCTCCCCCACGAGACCCGGCAGGCGCATAGTGGTGATGGGCAACACCACCCAACCCGCCGCACTCGCTCACGGGGACGGGGGACCGCCCCACGCAGCTGCGGCAGACGTGTTGGTGGCGGGAGCTGTGTGGCCGAAGGTGAGCGTGTGCCCTACCACCACCATCTCATATACAACAGTGCTATGAGCGATAGTGTTTGGTGGTGTGTGCGAGGGACCCGAATATTGGTTGTTGCAAAGCGGGTGGCTTCTGGAGCAGTTGCAGTGATGCTTTGAGACGAGTGGTAGACTCCACGTTTGTGCATGGTAAATGTTTTTTGCTGTTGTGGGTGGTTGACCGGGTTGCGGTTCTGCCTGGCTTCGTGCAGGACGAGGCAGATCTAGCGGCGGCCGCAGGCGGGTGTACGACAGAACAGCTGGGCGACGCGGCCCGGCGGCTGGGCGTGCGGTACGTCTTGTTGAGCAGGTACGACGGCCAAAAACTGGACGAGCAGGAGGGCTACCTGGAGAAACTGACGGAGGAAGTCGCTGCCGCCGCCGCCGCGGCGGCGGCGGCGGCGGCGGCGACGTCCACTGGCGGTCGCAGTACGGCGGGTGGCGGTACTGACGTCAGCGTGCGTTCTGTTGCGGAGTGGTGGCGGCGGCGGGTGGTGGCTTTGGCGGACCTAGAGAGTGTGCTTGTGGAGAAGAATGAAGGGCCGCGGGAGCGTGACTCCCCGGGGTTTTGAGAGATGTTGGTGTTCCGAAAGGTGTGGGGCGTCTGCCGGCACCGGGCGGCCTATCGGAAGGGGGTAGAGGGGGACACCTGGCTTATTGCAGGTGTTGTACTAGGAGTGCAAAACGCGGGTGCTCGAGGCGCTGGTTTCGTTGGGTCGGTAGACATGGGGGGCATGGGGGGGTTATCGGAAAGTGACTGGCGTATGGGGTATCTCAACAGTAGGAAGAGCCAGGATAACCACGTGCTAATAGCGGCGTTTTCACTTTTGGAACATTTGCGCCTGTTTCCTTCTCCGTAGATGGAGATTGGAGTTTTTGTGCGTGGACGGGCCATGCTCAAATCGTGGCGCGGAAGGGAGGGGAAGGTTACACCGTAGAGGCGGAGGCGGAGAACTCCTGAGGCTTTTGCTGAGTCACCAGCCCGGATTGTGAGCTTTCCCGCTTGCGGTTGCTGTGGTGTTGCAACGTGATTGCAGGTAGGCAGGCAACGCTGTTTCGGCTGTATCTTGTACATCTCCCTTGCGACCCTCCCTTTTAACTCGCTAGGTAGGTTAGCGCTCTGTTACCGATCCGAACTTTTATTTGGATGTTAAATGCAGCTGTTCCCTTGTGTGTCGATGAAATCTGATCGCTATCGTGGCGAGGCCATGCAGGCCGTGTTAGCCATGCAAAAGCTTGGCTAGCTTTGTCTGGAAATCGGAATAGGGTGCTACGTGCTACTGCCGAGCTGCTGCCGAACGTTCTGCGCATAGCCAACGTGCCGCGTAGATCCCATGCGTTTGCATACAACACTTCATATGCGTATGTGTGATTCCGATACGTGAACAGGTTGTGGGTGAAGTAGAAGTATAGCAGGAATGTGTGGTTGGCTGTCGCAGTCGGTCACTCCATTTCCTAGATTATTGGCGTCATACCAGGTTATATGCGTTTGATTTGTTATTCAGTATTCGTTCGGCAGCACCAGAACCTCGATGGCGGTCCTGTCCACGCCGCCTTAAAACGCTAATACCTTGTCGCCTATCTGTAAGCACGATTGCGTTAACGTTACATTTCGCATTATGAGATGCATACATGGTTAAACATATGGATATGCAGTATTGACGATTGCTGGGGCCACAGCTCCACATACGGCCAGGAATGAATATAGGGCCCCCCTGACCTTTGGAGGTCCCACTTTCAGGTCCAACTGCCTTTCAATGCTCCTTTCATACAACAAATTGCATAGGCTGGTAGAACGTTGGGCCAGGTCACACGCAGCCGAGAGACATTTGTTTGTGGCTGCCGGACTTAGGTCACCACAGAAATGAAGGCCCTTTCTTCGCGCTCGCTCGCTCAGCGTCATGCGCTGCCGATTCGCTGCCCTAAAGCAGTTTGCCATCGTAGCTTGGTTGCCCCCCAGCTGCGCAAGGCTACCCTGACCACGCGCGTCGCCGCTGTCGAGGAGCAGCAGACATCGTTCCAGGGCGACGAGCAGCCAGGCGTGGAGGCCGCGGCCGCCCCCAGCATTCTGGATGTGGACCCAGCAGAGGAGGAGTATGAGCTGCAAGAGCTGGACCAGGCGCAGGAGGACCTTCTCAAGTGGATGATGTTGGACGAGGAGACACAGGAAGAGGACCTCGACGAGATGGTCGATTACGATGAGTTTGGCGATGAGGAGTATGCCGATATGTATGAGGAGGTAGAGGATATGCTTGAGGCTGTGGACTATGACTTCAAGGTGGGCGACAAGGTCAGCGGCACCGTCATTGAAGTGGACGACGACGGCGCCTATGTGGAGATCGGTGCAAAGGCAATTGCCTTCTGCCCCGTTACGGAGTGCTCTTTCGCTCGCCTCAAGACGGTACGCGATCGAATGGGGCCTGCGGCGGCATGGCAATTTTCGTGGTCGCGGCATTACACAATCAGGCTCAGCTTTTCCAAGCGCTGAAGTGCAGTATTTTATTGCTGAGAGTTTTATATGTTGGGGATTCTTTTGCTTGCAGCCGCTGGAGGCGCTGCGCCCTGGCATGAAGCGCGACTTCATGGTTGTTCAGGACGAGGAGGAGTATGGTCAAGTCATTGTCAGCCTTGCTGCAATGGAGGTGGGTCAACTATATGGTAAAAATTTGGATGGCCTGCTTCAGGGGTTGACGTTGGCCCAGGCTCGGCCTTGCATTTACAAGTTAGCAGCCGCGGCGCTCTATCGTGCCCAATTGTAAAGCTGTATTGTCCGAGTATTGTTTAGGTCCACGCGGTTGTGCAGCAGCAGTAGGAGGGGCTATCGGTACCGAGAGGATAGTTCCGGCCCGGCCTGCCTAGGGAAGTGCGTTCCGTGACTGTTCCTTTTGAAAGCCAATTTTCATTATTCGGCCTATGCGACGATTCCTGGCGGACTTACACTTATCTTCTTCGCCCTCCAGGCCACGACTTTCTGGACTCGCATTCGCCAGCTCCAGGAGGAGGACATCACCGTGTCGGTGACGGTCGAGTCGGTCAATAAGGGTGGCATGCTGGTGAAGTTCGGCATCTACGATGGCTTCATCCCAGTCAGCCAGTTTGGCCCGGTAAGGGCCCTAACAACATTCAGTTATGCACTGTCGGCTCTTCCCGCTGGTATTACGGATTTGCCCTTAGAACAGGCTCAGCGGTTGCAATCCCGTCGACCCAAGGGGGCTCCATGATTATCCAAAGGGGTTCATGGTAACATGAGGCTTGCTTAGCCGGTGACAGGCACAGTGGCCGTTGGCGTCGGTTGCTGATTACCCGCTCGCTGTTCTCAACCTCACGCAGAGCATCACTGCTGATAGCATGGAGAGCCTGATCGGCTACGAGCTGCAGGTCAAGTTCCTGGAGGTAGATGAGGTGAGGCAGGGCAGGGCGTCTCGGGGGGCCGGGTAATGGGAAGTTGAAGATGAGGGTACGCTTCCTATGAGTAAAAACTAGAGCAAGCAGCAGGCCACTGTACCGAAGAGTACCTCCCGCATCGAATGCGAATTCGGTTATGAATGCAAATAGACAGGCTCCTTATTGATTGATTCCTGTTTTTTAATCGAAGAGCTTGCATGGGGTCGTCGTGTTCCGTTTTGGAACGATTTGACGTTCGCAGGGCAGTCGCCTCTTTCCTAGACGTCGCTATTTCAAAAGATACATTCATACATACGTGATGCACCCATTTCGCAGGAGGCTGAGCGCCTGGTGTTCAGCCACAAGCGGGCTAGCAGCATGGTGACGAATGACGTCCAGGGCTTCAAGGTACGCTTGGATTCATGGCCTCTTACCAGGGGGGGATGTATGCGTGTGGAAACCACCCGGGGCTCCCTGGTACTAGTAGGTACTGGGACAGAACGCGGACCGAGTGTTTTCTTCTTTGCACCAGCCGGATAATTTGCCCATTAATAATCCAGGGCCGTAAAGCAGTTGCCTCTCTCCTTTGGTGTAACCGGATGCCTGTAGGGCAGCGCGCTGTGCAGCTCGCGGCGGTTTGTTATCCACGGCGCGGTCTAGCGATGTTTTCACGTTATGACTTGTCGATTGCCATGTGTAGTTGGCCGATCCCGTGAGGAGCCCACCCAGCGAGCGACTAGACATTACAAAGCCGGGTAGCTCTCGGTGTCGTCATTTTGTTACGTAAAGCGTATTTTTTCTCCCTGACTTTTGCGTCTCCCCCTTACGACTACGACGTCACAGGTCGGAGACGTGGTGGCGGGCGTTGTGCAATCCGTGAAGCCGTACGGTGCTTTCATTGACCTTGGCGGTGTCACGGGCTTGCTGCACGTGAGCCAGCTGTCGCACGACCGCGTGTTGGTGCTGGACAAGATCTTGGCGGAGGGTGACAAGATCAAGGTCATGATCCTCAGCCAGGACCGGGACCGCGGCCGAGTGACGCTAAGCACCAAGAAGCTGGAGCCCACGCCAGGTATGCGGGCCTTGAGGACCGTGGAAAGACGTGGACCCCGCAGCATCTCTGGCCTGTCCTTTCGGAAAGACCATAATAATGGCGAAATGGCATGCGCCGTGACATTGGGGCCAGCTCTCCGTGCGAGTTGTGGATCAAGATAGAATACGTGGGCTAGGGGCGGCGCAGTTCAGTGCTTCAGTGTATAGTTCTATTCCGTGCGAATAGAACTGCCAACAACCAACGTATGTATTTGTGCGCTTCAATTTTGGCTTGCAGGTGACATGCTTCGGGATCCCCAGCTGGTGTACGAGAAGGCCGAGGAGATGGCTGAGCAATTCCGCAAGCGTGTCGAGCAGGCTGCCCAGTCGGCTACAGAGTCCGCCGACCTTCTGGGCGAGGGCCAGCCCTTCGTCTACTGAGCTACTGAGCTGAGGTAGTCCGCAGCGGTGGTGATGTATGGTGGCCCTTACGGTCCCAGTCCTGCGCCGCTTCCTTATCTGCAGCTCGGAGGGGGAGGTGCTGGACTGCTCAGCGCACAGATTGCGCATGCAGAGAAGGTCATGAGGCCATTGGGATATTGTTCAGCTCGATGCCGCGTGCAGCCCTGTCGTTGAAAGCTCTGTTGCTGGGAAGCTGTTTGCTTCCAGCATTGCCGCAGGTTGGGGCGGCTGGCGGTACAGGACTATTATTGCAACATTGCGGAGTGCTCCGCGGCATCGAGAGAGCGATTGCATGGCGGTGGACTGTTTCCGCATCCGCGAGGCGGCGACCGCGGCTGTCTGGCAGCTTAAGGTTACGGCTGTAGCCGAGCGGTGTAAGGATGGGGGCCTCGGGGGCTCCTGGATGGGTGGTTTGGTGACCAAACGAGCTGTGTGTGTGCCCAACCTTTGTGGGTTCACAGCTGCGGCGCGAGTGTGAGTAACAACACGGTCCGTACCATCATAGGGGGTTGCCGGACTGTGCTGAGCGCTAGTACAGTATAAGGGCCAGTAGACGTATAGAGCTCCGGGAGGGGCTGTTGGGGGGGTGCACTTTGGGAAAAGGCTGTGTTGCCCCGGTTGTGCTTCCCGCGCGGGATGGTGTATCAACGGTGAATATGTGGGGTGGTGCGGGTTTGGTCTTAGCGGCGCTTACCTCCCCCCTGGAGTGCTGGACTCTGCAGACTTGCCGCGTCTAGATTCATTGCTTTGGGCGACTATGGGGCCAAGGGTCAGTCCAGTGCTCGCTGTCGGATGGGGGAGTGACTGGGAACCAGGTGACTAGGGCTTGACTACGGTGCCTGATGTTGTTTACAGTCACGGTGGCTTTCCTAATCGTCCCATTTTTTCTTTGCTTTGGGACGAGGAGGAATGATTTGAAGGGTGTACAACGTGACAGTGCGTCTCGCCTTGTCAGCAGCGGTGGCAGGGGCTATGTAGCTTTTTGGAGCGCTTCGAGGTGTCGCGATTATGCAACTCGAACTTGGCGCCCTTTCGACATACGCAGCTGTAATATGGGTCTCGTCTGTTGGAGGGAAGGTTGAGCGAGGCTGACTGGCGAATCGTACGGCGTCTTTGGGTGATTTTGAGATTTTGAACCCTTTTTAGTAGCGGTCCGGATCTGTCACAGCTTTTGACGCCGTTGCGGCTTGCACAGCTTGAGCGCTGGCTATTTTGGGCAGTGCAGGGCAATTCCAGCTGGTGCGGCTTGTGCTCCTTTTGGCTTGTGCCCCGCGACTTTTGACGAACAAAAGGAGGAAGACTTTGCTCCTCAAGACGGGTATATAAAGGCTTTGGAAATATTTCAGCGCGTGGAGGGATTTAACAGACGACAGAGGAAAGGGGCACCGCAGGTGACATCTGTAAGAGGTTCCCCCCGGGAAATATGCCGTAGCATGTGCCGCGTTCTAAAATTTATCCGAAGACGGTTGGCAATTATCCTAAGCAACTGAATCACAGCTGCAACGCAGCACTAGGTACACTTCAAAAGTCCCGTCTGCCTGTCTAATCGTCTGTGGCCATCAGCGCGACTCGTCCTTCGGCCTAGCACTAAAACTACCGGACGAAATGCCCAGAAAGAGACGTCCAATTTAAGCCGCAACCAGTATGACAACCATTTCCGGCCACCATTTCCGCCCACCGTTGCAGCCCGAGACACGGACCTCGTCATTCGGTCTGTGTATTTCCCAGGCCAGTGAAAAGGACATAGCGCACACCATGACGGCTGCAGGACCCAGTGTTTAGCGCGTTCTGCATTCGCTGCCGGACACACAAACCGTCCCAGGCGCAGGACCCTCCGTGCCCATTCCCCCGAACGCCCCAAACCCACCCACCCATCCACAGATAAGCAATCAAAAGCGTATGCATTACTCCTGCATTGCGCTCAAATTGTCCCCTCGCATGTACACCCTCCCCCTGTAGCTTCCTTCGCTACAAGGAAACACACCTACAGGTTCTATAGATGCTTTAGGTCAAAAAGAAAAACAATCCCGTGCTCCAGATTCCTCGCCCCGCTGCCCGTGCCTACAGCGGCGATGCGACACCCGTCGTGGGGTCCAACGCCTGCACAGCGCTCTTGATTGCGTCGTACATGATAAAGTGCACGGGCGCGCCCAGCGACGTCTTGATGCAGTTGGTCAGGCAGCCGCGATACAGCGCCCGCACGCCGCCGTGGCTGCGCAGCAGCTGTCGCAAACAGTCGGAGGCGGAGGCGTAGCGCACCGCCTGGCCCGCGGCACCGTTCATCTGCATGCAGCGCCGAACCTGTGCACTAGGAAGGGGGGGGGAGGTCAAGTTACAAGTTACACAGCCAGAGAAAAAGGCCACACATACTGCATCAACACCCGCTGCAATTAGATTTCATCTGTCCCTGTGGTAATAAAAGCAAGACCCCTGACCGAAGGGTGAGGAGAGGAGAGAAATGCGAAGAATTAGCAGGAATGCGAGAAGAGCAGGAGAGGCGGTCCAGGCAGCGCTCCCTATCTCGGTTGCGAAAGAGGCGGTGCAGGGCCGGAGCCGAGTAGACCAGTAGGTGGTGGAAGAAGCCAAACCAGCGCAGCGCAATACGCGGCGGGGTTGAGCACGGCCCTCCTGGGGGGCTGTGCTGTGCACGTTCCACGCTCTGGGTGCCACACGGAGGGCCAGAGGGGGCCCAGAGGGCTATGACAGCCACATTGGAGAAAAGCGGGGAGCTGGTGCGTAGGTCCGCGGATTGTGGGTGTGCAAGCTGGGCCTGGTGTTCCTGTACGAAATCCCAAAGACACAGCACCGACACGCCAACTGAAGAGGCGAAGCCAGAACACAGTTATGAGCTGCCACCGCCTCGCGACCACTGGCACCACCTCCACTGTCTGTTGCACCTCCGTCTCACAGACCAACAGACAGACAGACAGGCAGACTCCTCAAACCCCCACCAGCGGCTTCTTTCCCCCCCCTTGCCGGCCGACTGTCTTACCGTATCTAGCGGATACACCACTGTCTGCGCAGACACCGCCGCCGCCGCCCCGCAACCCATTTTCAAAAAGGGATACCTGCAGTAGCAGTTGCGGTAACAGCAACAGCAACAGTAGCAGCAGTAGGGGTGAAGTTACTCGACGTGCTCCGCACGTTTCAGCAAACCTTGGCCTTTATAGAAGGCCGGAAAGCGCCGTGACGCACACCTACTGCCCACGCCAAAGACCCACCGAGCCATAAGCTCTTACATCCCTACAAGCAAACTCGCGCAAGCTGCAAATCGCCTGTCCCTTACGTCTCTCACCACACGGTCGAAGTAGATTCCCGGTCCGAAGGTAGCCTCTTCCGCAACTCGTCGTACATGGTGAAACTGTACGGCACAGGCAAGACAGTACGGCAGCTGAGCACAACGCAGGAATCCATCCATCCCCAACAGCTCTCCAAAAACGGAAGGGCGCGCGTGTCCCTTCATGTGCCATGACATGCCGCTAACCTGGCCTTTGACATACATACATACATACATACACACGGCCCTTTAATAATCATAGCACACTAAAATTATAAATTGCCTCTGCTATTAGGAATTTTTTTACCTTGAGCTGATCGGTCCTGATGCTGGACACAAGATCGTGGCCAGCCCCTCCCCTCAGGTCGCACCTTATTGCCAAGTACGGCGCCACACCACCCATGGACAGCAGCGCACCGCGGTACAGTCCCCGTACACCCTCGGATCTCACAGTCGACAGCAAACACGACCGAATGGTCGGATATGTACGACCACAGGGGCCGCCGGGGGCTGCCATCGCCGGCGCAGGGTGTACGACCGGCCCCGTCGCCGTCGTCGCCGCGGCCGCGGCCGAATTTGTTGCCTGCTGCGCCGCCGCTGCCGCCGCCATCGCCGGCCCAGTCAGCGCTGTAGAGCGCGTGGTGGAAGGTATCGTAGTCGAGGCTGCTGCTGCTGCTGCTGCTGGCAATGCTGTTGTTGCGGTTGTTGCTTTTGGCGATGATACGAGAAGTGGAGGCGCCGCTACTGACTGATCGGCCGTGATGCGAGTACGGCACACGTCAAGCGGGTAGAACAGCAATGTTTTCAACACGCCGGTGGCGGCCCCCGCCGCGAGCTTCTCCGCCACACCCGGCGGCGACCCGTCCATGGGGGCAAACATGACCCGAAATTGGTCTGTGGGGAGATGGTGATGAAGGTTGTGAGAGGCGGGGAGATGGAGATAATGCACGAAGGGGGAGGGGGAGGTATGAGGGAAGGGGGGGCGAATAAGAGCGGCAGGCACAGGCGGAGACCTTGTGACTCGGATGCTGCCGAAAACACCACATGCATATTCCCCCAAACAAGACCCGACATAACAGCGCAGGTCTGCGAGATTTGACGGGTTAAGCAGTGGCACCCACGCGTCTTTTCCGAAGTTCCGACGACCTCGCGCAGCCCGCACTCCCCGCCCTGTAGGAACGTACCAGCACTGGGTGGCTACCGAACACACACGACAACCGTACATGCAGTACGGTACGGCAAAGGTTGCCCATAACCCCTGATCTCTGACCCGAACACGCGGCGACGTCGTACATGCTGCCCGTACCGTGTACGATAAAGCGGAAGGCTACGTCCGGCACCAGCCGCACCACGTTGGCGCCGTTGCCCCTCCACAGAGCCTGTGGGGGGGGGGCACCAGCGACGAGATGAGAGAGGTGTGTCATCGCGGTGTGGTACAATCTGTCATGAGAAGGTGTCTCTCCGAGGGTACAGATGTTTGAGTTACTTCCCTACCTATAATATTCTGCGCATCACTTTGCTAGTGCTTGCAACTTTCTTTCCATCCGTCTGTGTGGTAAATCGTGTGGAGGAGCAGGGCACGTGTGTTGTGTGGCGGCGCAGCGGTACGGCACAAAGGTACGGCACAAGGGAACCAGCAGATGCAGGTGGTAGGGCTGCACATCAAGCGTGGTGTGCTTTCGCTTTCCCTTCGCAGGACAGCAAGGAGGGCAGAGGAGGACACACCGCCTAGGAGGAGGTCACCCACCAGTACCCCGAGCTCCCGAGCAGGTAGCCTCCGCAACGCGTCGCGTATGCCACCGTAGCGTACGGCGCTATCCACCGCCGCCATGTGCTGCACCTGCCGTAGAATCTAATGAAAGTGAATGTACGGTAGCGGGGGTACCGGGCGGGCGGGTGGTGGCGAGAGGGACGTGTCGCAAGATTAGGTCGGATAGGGTAGGACAGCTCTTAAGGGTTTGAAGGAGCACAGAGATAAGATGAGGGGGAGCCATATGTAAGAAGCTAGGCGCCAACGGGGTGGCGGGAGGTGGCGGAGGCGAGGAGGTGAGGCGTACTAGGCGTGGGGTGGGCGGGCAGCTTCGCGCTTCTTTTAACCCCCCCTGCCTTGTTTTACCAGCCCATCATTGCCGTGCGAAGCCAATGCCCTAAGAAGAGACGTTTACGATGCGCGATGGTGTTATGTTGGGTTGGCGGTAATCGATGTAATGTTGTCGGCCATCATCTTCTGTCCGTCGCCGCCAGACCATACTCGCTACCACGCTCAATTTGCAATATGCATGCTGGCACGGCACGGCACAGTACGGCACGGTGGCGCTCGTCCTCGCACCCTCGCATCTCAGGTGCCCACACGGCACTTTACCGGGACCGTTCGGCCATGCTACCGTTAGGATCCTGCTTAAAAGATGTGGATAAGTATACCTCAAACCCCCCAAGGGAAAAGCCCTTAGGTGGGTTTGCCCGCTGGGACAAGGGTATGGTGCGACACCAGCTCGCATACGACACGACAGGACAGCTAGGCAGAGGCCGGTAGCAGCGCTGCCTGGCAAAGTCAGCCAGCCACAGAGTGGGCTACCAGGGATTACGGTATTCCCGGGCTTTCAGATTGATGCTGTCGCTACCCCTCCAAGGGAGGAGGGTAAGGATGTGCGACAGGGCTCATGGGGGGGCGGGGAGAGAAGCCCCGTAACCACATGTTGGGCGTTTGAGAGAAAGCCTCAGGCCACCAGTCGCCAGTCGCGTTCATAAGTTACCTTGATTCGTTCCAGCGGGGCCACCACCGTTTTCGCTATTGCGCCAGAGCCGCCTGAGCAGACCAGCTGCACGGTAAAAAGTCTGAGCTGATCGCTGAGCGCTGCTGTCCAATGCTCCTTAAACACGAGGGGTTTGCCCGGCGGCCTGGTGCTGGGCGGCAGGCCCGCCGCCGCACCATTGCCTGGTGCAATCATAGCGCCGGATGGCTCGGCTCAATTATCCCGGGACACTTTTGTGTCAATCATGGTTGTCGCACATCAAGCTGAAAGGTTGCGCTGCAAATACTTCAAAGCTGATCCGTGATTAGATTATATTGATCCTGGTGTTCCGTAAGGCACTACAGTGTTGCCAATCTGGGATATATGTCGCAAGAGAAAAGCGAAATTAACGAGCACTATCCAAAGTCAAACGGATTCATATGTGATGATCACATTATTCAATTACTTGTCGAAGTGTGAAGGAGGCAGCCACAGCTGTGAGTGCATGAAGCATTGCCGTTCATGGGTCCCGGATTATAATTGCGCAAAATTCCCATGCATGGTTAAGCGTAGTACTGTCCACTATTATTTGCTTTCGCTTATCTATTGAATACTCGTCTGTCAACGCTTCTCAACTGAGAGCTGCTGTCCGTTCTCATCCTAGTTATTTTAGCTGAAATGCAGCTCGGGTCGAGGGTGGACTCATGCGCTAGGCTGCAAGTCCACAAGCCTGTGCGCAGGTCACGGATGTTGCCAATCGCGGCGCTGTCTTCGGATGGTAATAACGTGTCGGGATGTCTGCCGCATGGCGTTTTCTGGGCCTAATTATAAGCAGTATGTTTGTATTCTTAAACATTTGTATGATTATGTGTTCACAGGCCCGTCTGAGACGCACAGGCGGAAGGCAGAAGCCCGCGCCTGGATTAACGCATGGTGCGTATGTCGACGACTTGAGGTGTTTCGCGCACCTGGTCAGCTAGTGCCATATACATCCCTGACAACAGTGCACGATTGTTATGGGATAGCCCATTGTTTAACGATTGCGTGTTGTTGCCTTGCTCACCTACAGCGCATACCCACGGGCCAGTTGGGTGTCTGCGGGCGGTTTGCCGTCTTTGCAATTTACCTGTACCATTGATCAAAGGCGGCGCAGAGACTGAAAGAAGCGCGTGTTTGGGACGTTTCTGTGCCAGTCGAGACCGTATAGGTGCCATGCCACACGGTGCCACATCGGTTCCAAATTCCTTGCCGTGCTTTGTTGCCGAATCATTTAACTTATATATGCTGAACGTGAGGAAATTCATCAGCTCTTCAGAATTACTTCGTTGATATGGGACAGACCCCTACGGGGTCTACGGCGGCTTGGCTGTGTTCGACTAGACCTATTCCAACGCACGTCCACCAGGGCACCTGGCGATGTCCAGACGCCGAAGCTGAGGCAGCTCCTGGGCCCCTCCACACATACATACATAGATACGTTCATCCATTCATTCATGCACACAAGACATGGCGCCGCATACACTACTGCCAGAGGTTCCAGCCACCACCCTCTGTTGCGAAGCCAACCACGTCTTGCCCGCCGCCGCACATTCGGTCGCAGGCGCGCGCGATCTGGTCTGGCCCCCATGACCAGCTCCTCAGTGTCCATCACCGGCATCTTGCCGCCCCCTGCCGCTGCCGCCTCGGCCTCCGCGGGCGCCACGGGCGGATTCGGCTCCGACATCGGCGAGTACTTCAAGCTGCTCACCGGCCTAGGTAAGCCGCCCCTGGCTTTGCTCCAGGGTGGGTAGGAAAGCCTTCAAAGTTTTTTTATAAAAGGCGTTCGTCCTTACTCCATTAAATATAAGGCCCAAACAAACAATGCAAGGCTTTTGAAAGACACTAGAAGCGCGTAGGCCTGCTGGCTAGGCCCCAGATGGTGGCTAACTTAGGGTTTTCTGGGTGAAGACCCCCCCCCCTTCCTGGTTTTCTGGCGGGCTTACCTGGGGCCCACTGGCGGTGTCAAGGGAAGGGCCCCAGACTGCAGTACTCTATAGGACTTCAGTGCCTCAAACAGCCAAGTTCCCTCCGCCTGTTCTGTGGATGGCCCCCCCGGCGTGCAGGTACGCTGTACGCCCTTGATATGGCCATCAAAAAGGTGTTTGCGTCAGCACACATCACCTTTCCCAGGTGTGTTCGCCGTGTGGGGTAGGGCAATGAGGCTCCGGGGGTAATGACCCGGACCCTCGGTTCCGGTCTGGGCGAGGGTTTAAAGGACGAGTTGGTGGTGGTGGTGATGGAGGGTCAGGTGGTGACGAAGATGGAGGTGGTGGTGGTGGTGGAGACTGTGTGAGGACGTTGAGTCGTGCTGGGCGGCGGTGCGTTGGCACAGGGGCCGGGGCGTGAAGTCCCAACCAACTACCGGGCTTGCGCGGGTAGCTAATCTACCTCGTGTGTTTTAGCCAGCATGCTGGGGGGACGGCCCACGAAGGAAAAGACGGTGACCCCGTGATGATGAACTTCGTGTTGTGTTGTGTTTGTGTTTGTGTTGTGACACACGACTGTTGATAGCCGGAGGAGTTGAGCTCTTGATTCCGGTGTGAGAACCGTTAGGATAGCGTTTGCCTTCCCACCCCTCACCCCCTCTTCCCCGTGCTGAAGGCTCCTTTCAGAATCCCTCTCTTCCCCACGTCCCCAACTTTCCGTTTCAGAGTTTCAGGCTTTCAGGGTCGGCAGTCCAATAACAATATTCACATGTGTTTATGCATCATACACTCCTTGGCGCCCCTCCCCCCTTTGTCCGGTTACGTTTCAGTGCGCTCGGCGGCATGTTCGGTGTCGTGGCTCTACTGCTGGTTGTGGGTGAATCCACCGCGTCCAAGCTGTTGGCCTTCTACACTCCCGCGCTGAACTGGATCGCCAAGTGGCTGCCGCTGTTCTACGTGGCCTCGCTGGTGACGCTGCCGCTGGCGCTCAAGGGCATCGCGGGTGAGGCTGCGACCCGTGGGTCCGTTCCGCGTGGCCTCTGGAATTGTGTGGCCTCTGTGTGTGTGTGTGTCTGTGTGTGTGTGTGTGTGTGTGTGCACCAGCGCCGGAGCTGCGGCGATGCGGTGATGCTGGTTTGGGGCCCTCCAGGGGCAGGGGAGGCGGGATGGGGGGGCCATGGCGGGCACAGGCGACACGAGGTCCGATTCGAGGCAGCGAGTTGATGGACGGACGTTGTGGGGTCCCAACTCCATGGACTTGTGTCCACGTGGACATATGGACGATTCCGTCCATGTCCCTGGAGGGCCCCCCGGGGCCCGTTACAGACCGTAGCTCGCTGGGCACCAGCGCCTCCTCGCGTCTGTAGGTTCCCATTGGCGGTGCGCATGGGGGGTTGATTTTGTTTCCTGTCTGTTTGTCTTTCTGTCTCTGGCCTTGTCCCCCTTTTCAGGTTCGGAGCTAGCTAAGATCATGATCATTCTGGGCGCGGGTATGGTGGCGACGCTGCTGTTCACGGCCCAGGTGGGTGCGGGGTGGGGCGGGTTAGGACTGGTGGAAAGGCGGGGTCGGGGTCGGTGGTATCATCAGCTGCCTTCACCGGAACGGTCAGGAAGAGGAGGGGAGAAGGAGGAGGGGAGGAGGGGAAGGTGTGAAGGGCGCCGGGGAGAGAGGAGATCTTAATGAATACTACACACACGAGGCAGGTGGGAAGACCCGAACATAGAGTGGAGGAGAGGTGTCGGAAGAGCCAGCCGACAGAGGCCATTGAAAGGGAGAGGGCTGGCGAAGGGTACGCTCGTGGGGCTACGAACTCACCCCCCTGTTTCCTTCCCTTCCCTTCCCGTTCCCCGGCGCCACTGGGGTTTTTCATCCTCCCAGGTTACCGTATTCATCCGCGAGGTGGTGCGTACGGAGAACAAGGAGATCACGAAGGCCAAGCCCGCCTCGCCCTTCCTGCCCTCGCACTTCGCGGCGTGGGGCGCGGTGGCGGCGGCCTCCCTTGCGGCGACGGCGGTGGCGGGAGCGAATTCCAGTTTGGGGGCGCAGATGGCCCTGCCCTTCGGACTAGCGGCCACTGTGGGCGGGTACCTGCTGGGGAATGCGGTGCCCAAGAACATGCAGGTGTGTGCTTGCGTGCGTGCGTGCGGGTGTATAATGTATGTGCGTGTATGTATGTATGTGCGTGTGTGTCCTACATGATGCCTGGCCGGGTGCAGGAACTGGAGGGGGTGGGTGCGTGGTGGACGTGTGGCACCGCCGAAGCAAGTATTCTTCGGTGGGGTGGTAGAATTTCCCAGAACTGGTGTGCGTATGTATGTGTCGCCCTGTCTGTCGGCACTCCGCATGTGACGGACCTGCGGCTCTCGGCTATGCTTAGGAGGGGGGACAGAGGCCCCTCGCGCCCCTCTCCCGTCCGCGGGAGAGAGGAACTAAGGCGGTCTTTCCGTTAGGGCTGGGCAGCAGCCCCTGGCCAGTGTCAGGCCCGGCCGGATACTTGTAACCTTCACACACACAGACACGCACATGCATCCGCGCAGGGTCTGCTGCACCCGGTCGTGGTCACCGCCATTGTCGCCAATGCCGGCGCGGCGCTACACGGCAAGGTTTTCGGCGTTGGGTACGACACATCCCTCAAGATGTACTACAGCAAGGTACGGCGATTGCGGCTGCGGCGCGTTGATCTTTTCGTCTGGAATTAGAGTGCATTGCATGGCTATGAAAATGATAGTAGCAATAAATTAATTTATATATCCTTGAACTTAAAAATATTATTTTTATTATTATAAATAACGGGATAATTTACAATTAATAGTACTGTGATAATGATGATGATGATGATGTCCCACCCTCCAATCCCCAGCTAGCATGAAGTCCGTGAGGATTTCTAGGTACACCTCCCATCTGACTTCTTGTGGCCATTTTCTCCTGCTCCCGCTCTCCCTCGTTCTGTCGTACGCACACAGGGTCAGGGCCTTATGGGTGCGGGCGACTTCCTGATGGCCTTCCTGGGCTGCGTCATTGTCAGCTTCGGATTCCGCATCTACCAGCAGGTAGGTGCGTCCGGGGTTCTGGATTAGGGGGATTAGGGGGGGGGAGGAGGTGTGTGTGTGTGTCTGTGTGTGCATGCGTGTGGCTCGGAGGCGGATGGTCATAATCATAACGGTGACGGTGGTGGTGACGGTGGTGGTGATGGTGGTGGTGATGGTGGTGGTGATGGTCGTGGTGGTGGTGACGGCGGTGGTGATGGTGGTGGTGACGATGGTGGTGATATGCCAATCAGTGTTAGAAGGAAACGTCGCCGACCCCACCACGTACGTCGTGTTCGCGTTGGTGTTGGTGTTGGTGTTGGTGGCAGTATTGGTAATCAGGGCTGATAGGTCAGTACCAGTTTTTAGTCACTTTCTGGAGGCCACTTCGACTTACTCAGCTGGGTGCCGTACTAGGGTAGGCTGACGTGCTGTCGTAGCTTTGGGGATCACTAGCACGGGCACATGGTTTTGACGTCCGTGTTCGCGGTCCCGGTTTTGCATTTCCTCTCACTCACCGCGTGCCCTCACCGCTCACCCCGCGCTCCGCTCTCGCCAAAACCCAACCCCCACCCCCTGTGAACCCGCACTGCAGCGCGAGACGCTGCGTCGCCACGCGCCCGAGATTATTGGCGCCACCTTCCTGTCCGCACTCTTCTCCTTTTTCTCCACGGCCTTCGCCGCTAAGCTGCTGTCCCTCAACTCTGGTGGGAGCCACTGGGGGCCGGGGGGTTGTAGTCCGGGGGAATTCGGGTTTGGGGCTGGGTTAGGGCACGGCTGCAGCTTGAGACCCTCTGTCCGCCTTTAGCTCTCTGTAGCTTGAGGCCCTCCCCGGTGGGCTAGTCACCCGGGACATAGTTGATCTTTTTGGGGTGAGCTGGTGGGTGGGGGCGGAAAGCAGTCTTTAGCTTGTGAGGGGAGGATCCCCTCCTCCTGCTGCTGCTGCTGCTGCTGCTGCTTGTCACCCGCACCCCGACGAGGACCCACATGGCTCAACTCCCATGGGGCCATGGGCACATGCGGCAACACTCCCCTCCGGGAACCCCTCCCCCTTTTGCGCAGATCTCGCTCGTGCGCTCATCCCGCGCTCCGTCACCGTCGCCCTGGCGCTGCCCATCGCCACGCAGCTGGACGCGCCGCTGTCCATCACGGCTGCGGCTGTGCTGCTGCAGGGTGAGGGCGGCCCGGAGTGGGACCCTTGGATGGGATGGGAACCATGGACCCGTGAAGAGGGGGGTTTGCCGTGAGGTGGCTTCACGCTAGTTAGCAAAGGAATTTCGGACGAGGCACCCCGGGCACCTGACTTTGATTAAACAGGAAATAATATGGCTCTAGGTACACGAAAATAGGAAGTAATGGATCCGGATTCCACGCCGTGGATTCCGCCGGATACCGCCCTCTCCTTCCGCCGGAAGAGAGCTCCCGGATGGTGACCCACCTTCGTAGCCGTGCCATGCTGAACCAGCTGCTCTTCCAGCTGCCCTCGTGCTTTCCCGACCTGCGACATCCTTCTCTCTGGCCGTCTCCTGCCCGCCTCCTCCCCTGGCTCAGACCTCGTGCTCCACCCCCTTTAAAAGGCCAGCTGGGCAGATTTGGGCACTTTTTGTTAAATGCATATCTAGCTACAGCATCACCATGTTTTAGTTGTTACTCCGCTCTGTCAGGTCTGCTGGGCGCCAACTTTGGTCCCAACTTGATGACGGCGGTGGGCATCAAGGATACCATCGCACGCGGCCTGGCGGCAGCCGGCACTGCGGGAGGCCTGGGCACCGCGTCGCTCACGTCCAAGGTACGGATGTACGGATCCTGGCCCGAAGAAAGTTGAGGAAGAGAGAGATGGGAAAGGAGATGAGGCGCGGGAGCCTCGCGGGGAGAATGCATGGGGTCGGTGTGTGTTTGAGTGGGGGGTGAACCGGGTGACACGAGTCATTTCACGGATTCACACTCCGTCTGATACCCTCCGACCTCCCAAGACACACCCTCTAGTTAGCTCCCAAATCGGGTTTCCTGTATATCGTTGTATCCATGGAAGATCTCAGAAACGAGTACCGCTATTACTATTACCAGCTTCGTAAGTTCGGGACTGTTGAGTGACCAGTGACAGGTGTCGCGTACCTCCACAGAGTACATTTTCAAAAGGAATCGCTACCGTGTCCCTTTTTGTCGCCCTTGTCCTCGCTGCGTCTGTCCCGTCACCCGCCTTCAGGAACCCGAGGCTCTGCCCTTCTGCGCGCTGAGCTACTCGCTGGTGGGCATCCTGTCCACCTTCCTGGCCGCCACACCGCTGGTGCGCAACGCCCTCATCGCCATTGTGGGGTAAGGAGACCCGACCCGGGAACAGGAGGAGGTGGCGGCGGCGGCGGCGGCGGAGGAGGAGGACGGCGGCGGCGACGCGACCAGAAGTTCCACTACTTGAGTATAAGGAGTATAAAGAGCATCGCGGGGACGGGTGCTCACCGTGGCCGGGATTGCGGCGTGGGCTCTTTTTTTTGGGGGGGGGGTCCTTTTGCTCGGGGGAAGCCGCCGCGGTATGTGCGGTATGCGGGTGCATGGTGATTGGTAATTAGTTCATGGGTTTATTATCAGCAGCGGGGGGCTCGCGGGTGGCGCTGCTGAAAGGTGTCATCGCGATGTCGCGGCGTCGTCGTCGTCACGCGCGACGAGTGCGTGCGTGGTGGTGGTGGTGGTGGTGGGTCGTGGGCTGCTCCTCCGCCAGGTCCGCGGCTAGCTCTGTTGTTGTAACTTTTCCTTACGTGCATGAGGTGGTGCTGGGTTGTCAGTGGGGTATGGATGAAATGAGTGTTAGGGTTAGCGTGTCGGTCTAAGCAGCGGTGCAACCGATATCGGGACCATGCTTCTGAGCATTTGGATGATGATGAAGGTGAGGATGAGGATGAGGGTGAGGATTTGGGTGAGGACAACATCACTTGACCTTGTTGTGTATGAGGGGCATTGGGCACTTTACGTAACCATAGGTGTCAGTGGCTAGAGATATTGTGCTCCGGGGTGGTGGTGTTGCTGCGGATGCTGTGTACGTGTGTGTATGGTGAAGGTGGGGGAGTAAAAGCGTGGCGGGTCGTGAGATAATACCGAAATGGTGCAACCATGGGGTTGAGGGATGTGGGGCAGGAGGAGTCTGTGGTCAAGTACTGCGGAGCATGTCTAGATGCCCAACATTTTTCCTGTGTGTATGTATGTATGTGCGTGCGTCTGGCACGGGTGCCGCGGTGACGGCGCCGACGACACGATTTGCGGTACGTTCCGGATTTTAGATTGCTGGGGCCCTTGGATCTCGGTGGTGCTCTTGCTTGTGCCTGTGCTTCTCAGAGAACAGAGAGAAGAAGAAAACTTCTGTGAAATAGCAGCTGAAGAAATCGCGCGACAGACCGGACGCGGTGACAGGAAAATGGAACCACAACTTGCTTTTGGAAAATAATTTTCATTTTCAACGATCGCTTGCTCGAAGGAGCTTGCTGCTCTGGCTGCTCAGCCGCTGTGGCGTCATCTGCGGCGTTGCAGCACGCGTCATGATGGTGGTGGCGGGGCCCCGTCGGCTGCCCGCAAGGCACGAGGGCCAAAGAATGGGTCCTCGTGAGCCAGTAAAGAATATCTGCCGCGTGTGGGTCCCAGATTCCTATACCGCTGCTCTATACCAGCTCATGACTCGCAATGGTTGCTGCTTCGTGTGGTCGAACGGTGGAGCTCGTATAAAAAAGGATGCAGATGAGATGAAGACTTGCACACTTGCATATGGTGATTCCGCTGCTGTTCGTCGCGTACCACCGCTCCTCGACCTCTGGCCAGGGGGGTTCGCGCGTGTGTCGCTTTACAACTGCGCGGGGGCTCGTTGATCTTTGTACGGTAATAAGGCGGAGTCTCGTCTTCCGTCTTCCTTCCTTGCGCGTTGGCTCACCTTGCAGACACACGAGGAGGAACAGGAACAGGACGCTTTCCAAATGTAGACAGCAGGTGCAGGACGCCAATCACGACCCATGGCGCAGGAAAGGCGCAGAAAATGGACAGAAAGTGTTGAACGGCGGAGGCTGATAATTGCCACGGTGAGAAAAATGTGAGAAAAATGTATTAAATAAACAAGTTAATCAATGACTACTGATTGCATGCGCAAATTCCATAATATATGCTAAGGTAGCGTTTCTGGAACCGCGGGACTTCCGCGATGTCTGCAACGCTGGTACCCTCAAGGGGGTTACGTAAGGAAAGCTAATCATGTTGCGGTCCATTTGCTGCATATCTGTAGGTCCAAGGCATGTGCTGCGGAAGAAAAAGTGGGCAACCGTGCGCCAACTGTGCGCTGTCCGTTGTCGGTAGATTTTCCACCCATAAATGTCCTCTGTAGCTGAGTCGAAGCTCAAAATGAATTTACCTGCGATCATGAAAATAATTTCCAATAGAACCCGACGCTGCGGAGATACTACATGCAATTCACAACTTCAACCGGCTCCGTACCACGAGTGACACGGTGCGTCTTGCAACGAACTTCAACTTGCAGCTTCACCATAGAATTGGAGCAGGATAATCTACAATTGAGGATCTAAAACGTTATTTTTGTTGTTGTGAATGTGCTGAAGACGTAAAGGAAATTTGCTTGGCGTACCCTTCAGAGCAAATACATTTACAGCAATGCAACTTCAGCAGGGTAGTCATCTGGCTTCCGAGCGCGCCACGCGGCGTCGGGAGCTGCGAGGCGTGTCGCTACAAGGTGTTCGTGCGTTTGGGTCTGCACGCACGCAGCCCTGCCGAGGGCTTGGCACGAGAAGACAGCCTTTGATATGCAAGGCCATTGCCACACCAGAAACCACCACCAAAGTGGTAATGTTGCGTTTGGCGACTGTCGCCAACAACCATCGCTTTCTTACGCTTGCTTCGCTGAACCGTAGGGTGCCCCCGAAAAGCAAGCTGGCGTTTACTACAACATGGACTCTAGCACTAAGACGTCGCGACCGCGCCTGGTCGTCCTGGGTTCTGGCTGGGGAGCGATGAGCTTCATCAAGAGTCTTCCGGCCAACATCAGGTTCGTGAATTGGTTATGCTTTGGCTTTTTTGTTGTTCCACCAATCCAATCCTGCTCGTGCTCTTGTTTCCTTGCGAACGCCTCCGAGACAAAGCGCTTGCACATCATTTCCCTCGACTCTTTTTTCGATTGCAGCGAAATGTATGAGGTGGTCGTGGTGTCGCCCCGCAACTACTTTCTGTACACGCCTCTTCTCCCAGCCGTTGCGACCGGCACCATGGAGGAGCGGTGAGTGCATTGCCATCAGCGGCTGGAATGTTCCAGATTTCTCCTCTTGCTCTGAATGCACGATGTGGAAGTTGGAAGTCGGAACCATTGGTAATCAATGGTGGGGTGGGCACGGCTTGCGATTTTGAGGGTCAACATTGTCCGTTGGGCCCCCGGGTCGGCCAGCTTTGCAAGTGATGTGAGAGCAAAAGTAGGGCACATAACGTACTGCCAAAAAAGTATTCATGGTTCATATTTCCGGGAGGTACCCCAAATTTATGGCACGTATTAGTCACAGCCTTGCCAATGAGTGACATCCCCGAATTCACGCCTTCGCATGTGCGCTCCGAGACCACTCCGCAACAGCCTCACCCGTCGGACCTCCGTCCAAATACATTTTCTTTAAGGCAGACTGTTCAGACACATATTCCTGCAATAAAATATCCAAAAATTTACACGACAGCTACCCATGTGATCCAGTCGACCCTCTTCGATTACGGACTTACCAAAGCTTCCGCCTGGTGGATGTATCCCCTACAGCAAGCGGTCCGGAGTCGAAGGCCCCAGGCTATGTTCCGTATCTTGCTCACCGATCTGCACAGGTTTCGAACACGAGACCCATGTACTACCCCACGTGCCCCACGTACAGCACCTGGCTTGTTCTATAAGAGGACCGATTTTGAGAGAAATATAAAAATCTAGGCATGCAAACGCTGTGGAAGACGGATTCCATGCGGTTTCGTACTACCCTGCCAATCCCCCTCCACACACACACACACACACACACACACACAGACACAGACATATATATTTGCATGTGACTCCAGGTTTCCCGCCCGCGGCGACCTATCATGCGTGCATCCGATCCTTCCACCCCTTCTGCTCGTTCTTCACATCTTCAGGAGGTTTGGGGTTTCGGCATGTATATGTACACCAAATGCTGAATCTGTGACATGTCTGTGGTTCGTCTGTACGTCTGTCTCTTCGCCGTACAGGTCAATCGTGGAGCCGGTTCGGAACTTCATCATCGGCAAGGTGGGATGAGGCGATTGGGTTGTGCTTGTCTGTATGTATGTGTATGTGTGTCTGTTGTTCACACTTACTCCCATACCCCCCAATTACACCTCCCCTAACTCCGCCGTACACCTCCACGGGGGTTCCCCCACATGGTCGTGTCCCCCCTCCCCCTTCCCTC